CTGGTCTGCAGCAGAACTGCCAGGTTCTCTCCTTCTGTAGTCTGTCTGAGCCAGGCGCTGCCTGTAGGAGTTATACTGTACCTGACCATCGTGATCTTCAGCATGAACACACACCTGCAGACTCACACAGCTGAGTCTTGAAGAGCAGGGTCACCAACACATGGCTCAACAAATACAAACAGTGAAAACAGTGAGATCTGGAGGTAAATTAATTATTAGTCCAGCAAACTGATGTTGAAACGAGTAAGGAAAGTTATTGAGGTGAAATCATTCTGTGCAGTAATATCCACAGATGTCCTTCCATCAGCTCTTACAGCCATTCCTGCAGACTGCCTTCATCTAGAACTGACACAAATCATCACTTTTAAAAAGATGGTGATTACAGTATTTTTATTTCTTTAACCTTTGCATTTGACTACATAACGCTAATATCTGTTCCCCCAATTTCTGAATATCCCTGCTTTCCCATAAGAAATACAATTGTAGAGACTCATCACAACAAATAAATAACAAATCTGCTCAATTCACACAAAGATGTGACAAAACAGATTTAAGACTCAAACTAAATATTTTCTTAATTTCAGTTCTCTTCACTCCCAGGGATATCTGAAAAAACACTGTCACATACAAAATATTTTACATACAACTACTAATAAAGATGTACAATAAATTTCATTGTTAATAGATTACTTGTATTAATAGACATTAAATACATTAATAGAAACAATAAAATTAGTTTTTAATAAATTACTCTTATGAATAAACACATCAATAAAGTTCATTATTAATGAATGTGGTTTAACTGGAAAGCAGTTTTAGTTAAACATTACAATCCTTTTCCAAGTGACGGACACATGACTTCCTGCCGTAGTGCCGGTGTTGTTTCCCCTCTATTCTCCTGTGATCCAGAGCTCCGCCTGTCCCACACTGAGCTGTCTCCCCATGTGAAGAGGCGCTGGGAGTCAGTCCTGTACTCCAGTCACCTCTAGAGGGCAGCAGCTCTCACTCTGGGCTCGTTGCAGTGGAGAGCAGGTTCAG